GGCGCACAAGCTTGTATGTACGCTAAGCGTACAAGCCAAACTGCGTGTACGCTTAGCGTACAGCTAAGTACGCCCTGCGTCCTCAGTTAGGAGGGTTTTGGATTTTGGGCTTCGTGTGGGCTTCCTTTTTTGGCTTGGGTGTTTGAGTTCTTAATAGGCCATCTGAGTATAAGTGTATTGGAATAGGAATTTTGGTTGGGCTTTAGGGTAAGGCCCATGTAAGGGGGGTTTGGGCCCATTTTGTAAAATTGGGCCATGATTGGGCCTTGGTTGGTTATTTGGATTTTGGGCCTTTTAGGTTGTGAGTTGGGCCTTGGTCTTAGACTAAGCTAGGTTAGGGGTAAAATGGTTTTTTTACGTCGAGTATGGATCTATGGTTATGTTTTGGAACCCAATTGATAACTGGGTTTTGTTTTGATATTCGCAGTTCAGGGAATCTATCAGCCTGCAACCAAGGATCGTCTTTGTGTTTCGGCAGTGCGAGGTGAGTTTTCCTCACTGTTCTTGCGGGTCGATGGGACTAATGCAGACCCATTGGATTGATATCCTACTGTGCATGCTATTGTGTTGTTGTGATCTGTTAGATCGGTATCCTGGTAGATAGGATGTTGTTATATTTCGTGATCTGTAGATCTGTTAGATCGGTATCGTGGTAGATAGGATGTTGGTATACAGGGCCTCATATAGTACGCTACACCACGACTGGCATATCACTAATGAATGCATAGATATATGTAATATGAGGTGAGATAAACAGTCGAACATGTAATCTCATTCCAGTGCAACAACCAAAAAAGAATCCAAGCAAGAAATCCTATATCAAGAGTTCTCAAGCTATCCTACATGACTGTATACAACCCCTAGGGTACTTAACTAGACGATCACCAACCTCCTGGTACTTTAACCAACACGTTACTACTCCTATATCATATCTTATAAGGATATATATATATATATATATATATATATATATATATATATATATATATATATATATATATACTGTAGCATATGAGCTCACATCAGACCTATAGGTTATCAACAATCTTGTAGACTATCAGCAGTCTTGGAGTTATCATCAACTCATAATACACATAACAATGATCATCAAGAAAAGCTTAGCTAGTCTAGTATACACACATAAGTAATATAGTGAGGAAATTGACTTGAATCGAAGACCCAAGGAAGCAGAACAACACTCTTACTCCCTACACCGATCGCTCCCACAAACTGACCGACACCAAATAAAGATAGATCTGTAATCAATAACTTAAGTCCTTCAAGTTTGACCCAAGGTCAAACTGGTCAAAAGCCAACGGTAAAAAAAAAGTCAATGATCAACCAAGTCAATGCTCACCACGACATGGAGACCTCTTGGCCACGTCATGGGCATGTCATGATAACATAATCAACAAACAGGACACCACTACATTGTGGAAAGCCCGTGGCTACGTCCTGGTTCCTGGCAGAATGCCATATTATTGATTTAGAGCTTAATCCTTACAGATCTAAAGCCATAACTTCAGATATAGTCCTTTTCAATGACTTAATGGATAAAAATTCCATCTTTATCCATTAGGACTCCACTACATGGAAAGATCTACAAACCTAAGTCCACTAAATCCTCAACGAGACCAAAACTTGAGCATGGACACTAGATGACTACATAACATAAATCGTTTCTCAATCACCAGAAGCTTAAAGACCATAAAAGGACCATAACAAGCCTTGGAGTTCCTTAAACTCCAAGAGCATCCATGGAAGGAACCGAAACAACCCAAAAGTGATCCCAAACTTGAATCTAGAAGAAGAAATACTAAGTTATAAACTTTATACCTCAAACATCTCAGAAATCAGAAGGGACTGATGATCCAAACCAACTCCTTGCTTCCTTGCACCAATGTGAACTTCCTTATTCCTCAAGCTTCACGAAAATCCAATGAATAAGCTCCAAATCAAGAAAATGAGCTCTCAAAAATGCATGGAGGCTAGGGTTTCATGTTGAAGGGTTGGTGGATGAAGAGGATGCCATAAACCTTGAGTTTAGGTGCTTAAATATGGAAGAAACCCTAAAAATAATGCGTTTGAGTTGCAGCAGTTTCCACATCGTGGCATTCCTACTGCCACGTTGTGGCGGCCATCAAATGTGCGTTCCATGCAATTGGCATGCCATATCATGGTAATCCATTCAACACGTTATGGGAAACCTTACCTTCATCCCTCTAAGTTCTCAACTAATCCATCTTGGAAAACACTTATTACACATGAGTTGAACATTATTTAAACTAGTGTAGACAAAAATGCCTAAAAAATGGTACAAAATGCTAATAAAAACTAATAAAAAAGATGCATAAAATGTCATCTAACACATGTCATTAACGACTTGGATAAATGAAGAAAATGATGGTTGGGCTTTTTCTTTCCAGCAACATGGGATTTAGATTCTGAGACAAACTCATATTGGATTTATAAGACCTTCAATAAGGGATTAAGGAAGAAAAAGACAGGAAAACAACGATAAATCGCTAAGAGTGGCCACACTTCGACTAAGTTTTTTTTTGGCACGAACGATCAAAATCAAAACTCAACAATTAATCGTCTCCAACTTAATGGTCCCCTAAGTTATATTCTTTGAGAATTGTTCCTAACGTACAATATGTATCATAAAGCCATGATAGAATTCTAGTACAAACACAATGCACATAACACAAGACATATACCTAATTCCACACATGATGGGCAGTACCAACCACCTTCATTCGCGACCTAAAGCCTACTTCCTACACCCTAAAATCTAATTTAAGTAACTTTTGGATTATATACATATTTAGAAAAACTAGTTGATAATAGATTATAGAAAGCTGATAGCTAGAAGTTGAAAGCAAACTTTTTATTTGTATGAAGTGCCGGATGAAAGTACATGTAAGTTGTTTTTGAGAGGTGTAAACTAACATAATATAATATATAAAAGATATAAGTTAGCCTTTTAAAACTCTAAAAAATGATTTAAAGTAGCTTTTCGATTTGAATTTTTTTTCTTAAACCAAAAACTTTAAACTTGTTCATATGAACCAAACATTTTCTTTAATTCGATTTTTTTTTAAAAAAAAAAACTAAAAACTCTTAAAATCTCTCAAAAGTTTGTTGATGAACACACTATGAATTGTTTTTGTTTAAATAAAAACTAATAGCTTGTATTGCCGAACAATTCATTACGTAATACACTATGAACAATTCACTATGAATTGTTTTTGTTTAAATAACTTTTTATATAATTAATTTTGCTTTTTTATAAAATTAAAAGATAAAAACTCATAAAAAATCATTACGTAATACACCAAAAATATCTTGCTTCAAAATTAAAGTGGCCATTTTGTTCAAATTTATTTTAATATTTTTTTTCTTGATTGTATACATCAAACTACATATGTTCCTCACTCTTCAAAAATATCACGAAAGATTTTTTTTTTCTTCCATATTTGTGATATTAGAGAATGATGCAAATAAATTTTGGATATCAGATGACTTCTTATGATTATCTTTAAGTTTTTCGACAAACGTCTAACGCTAAATAATTATCCGAATATGTAAAGATAAGGTTGAATATAAACATAGTTAAGTGAGAGTTATAAGAAGGCTTATGCTTCACTGAGGGTGACGAATATCTTTAAAGAGGGTTTAAATGTTCAATGAACTAATTTATCATAAAATACTTAATTTGTTGGATAAGAACGTGAAAAAAACAAAGTCTTTGGGCAACCAGGGCCGGTCCAGACGGTGGGCAACCCGGGCGACCGTCCAGGGCCCACGTCTCCAAGGGGTCCAAAATTTATGGTCTATGTAGTATTTATATATAAAAAAATTATTACCTAAATGATTTTTAGGGCCTAAAGTTGGTTCAAACTCAATCTAGCTCAAAAGTTAAACAATTTGACTTGCTTTTTATTGTTAATTGAACGCGTTTACAATGAATAAGAAATGATATTTTTTTTGAAATTTTATTTTATTTGTCTTTAAGAGCCCCTTTTTTTTATTTTCGCCCCGGGCCCCGTATATGTTTGGACCGGCCTTGTGGGCAACCATTGTAAAGTAAACACAATTAAAGGGATATTTTTTTTGTAATTTTTTCTAAACTAAAACATTAGCGGTGAAAGACTTTCTATAAATCACAATCAGATTCTTCATATCAGAAGTCTCTATCAATTTGTATTGCAACTTGAAGACATCTTCCATGACATTATGTTGCCATTTACAAAAAGAAAATGAGTGATGTTACGTAATGCCAACAATTCTTCTATTAATGCATTGCACATTGTTATCAGATAAATCTAAAAGGGATACTCTATAATTATGTCTATAAAGCTGGATTAACCAAAAATGACAAAAATAAGATGCTGTTACTAAGAAAATGACTATTTTTTCAATAATAATTATTAAAAAAACTATATCCTTTATATAATTCCGCAAAAACCTTATTTATTTATTTATTTTTTGTAAAATAACTTCATCATTTCACATCATCTCGACAACTATCATATACCCATTCGCAAAACGAAAATTTCTCAAAATTCATTTTGTCTAATAACATATTCAAAATATGATCATTTTCTTAATAAAATCCACTAATAGTGCATAAATAGTTGGGATAAATTTGTTAGTGCCTTATCTTTTAGCATAATTTTACCAAATTGATGTTTTCCAAAAAAAGTATATAGGCATAAATAATTGGGATTTTATCCATTTCCATCCCAACTAACAGGATAAAAAGTTTTCCACATGTAATGTCAAAATTTACAAAAGAAGTAATACAAAATTAAGTTTATCTATTTTTATTCGAAACCAAAATTTATCTTTCAATAGTCAAAACATTTAATATTTAAATCATCCAATCAATTGTAGTTACTTGTTTAGTTTTCACCCTTGATGTTGTTATAACTTATTTTCGATATAAAAATCAAGTTAAGTTGAAAACTTCTAATTTCTAAACACATTGTCCGAGATGAAAATTGAAAAGTAGTGTTTTTTTTATAATTCGCAGAAATGCAGGGGGTGTCACAGTACTTTTTCAACCTTGTTTTACTCTTCACGCTAAAGACTTTCTTTCCTATATCTGTTTCTCTGTATTTATATCTTCATTTCATTTCTCCCACAAAACCCATCAATCACATACACAAACTGATTACTTTCTCCAATTTTTTACGTGGGATTACAGGTTTTAAAAACATGGCGATGCTTGAGACGTTATTTTTTGGTGTTTAACATTCTTACTCTTATCTCTCGTCGTTTTCATTTATTCCCCCATGGAAGCTTCTTTCTTTTTTTTCGGTGATAATATATAGCGTAGCCTCTTCTTTTCCGGCGAAGAAATCGTCCTTTTCTTGTTGAAATCAGTCTTTAAATCCGGCTGAACTTTTATTCGTTAGTGAAATATCCTGGGTCTCCACTTTTTCCCAGTGATAGCCATGATTCTATGACTTTAACCACTTGGAACCAGGATATTTTGATAATTTATTATACAGGTTATTGTAATATTGTGGATAATCTTTTGAACCCTAAGTTCAGTTATTGGTTATTCTGCAATTAAATTAACCAACTAGCCATTTCATTTTTCCTGAATTAAGTGGTTCCTATCTTAATCATTGACTTATGTTTTCGTTTGATGAAATCATAGCACTTTTGCTTGAATTGGTTCTTTAGTGTTGGTGTTTTTTGGATCATCTGATTATGGGTATAACTATTTTTTGTGAAATCCCCCCTTTCTGATCAGATTTTCATTATTTTTTCTTGATTGATCGATCTTTAATCGAACTCCACCCTTCAAAACTCTTTCGCGTACCACCTGTTTGAAGAAATGTCAATTTCATTGACCCGGTTTTCCTGGTGGTATTGGAGTAATGGGAAGGAAAAAGATCCCGTAATCTCTTCCGATTCAATGAAACTATCTTCTTTAAACAAGAAAGACGCAAAGCTATCATCATCCTCTTCCTCTTCTTCATCAAAAAAGACGAAGAAGAAATGGCAGAGTAGAGAAGAACGGAGGAAAGTAATCGACAAAGAATACGACGTCGTGTTAGTCCCCTCCGATGGTGTTTGTTTATCGGCGTCGGAAGAATCCTCTTATGATTCAGACTGGTCTATTGGGTGGATGGAGCCTCATGCCCCTGATTTTTTCCAGAGTGATGACGACGATGATTCCGATGCTGTTGCAGACAACAGTTTTGCAGTTCTTGTTCCATGTTATAGAAATGATTGCAAAGCTTTCACGACAGAAGAAGTCGCTCAACCTCAACCTCAACATCATAACTCCAGTAATCAGTTCTTGAATGTTCTCACTGCTCTCCCAAATGGTTTCCCTGCTGGTATGACTTGTACTCTATGCATCGTTTATTGTACCTTAATTTCCATGTATAAATCTTATGTTATAATTCTTTTGTCTTGATGTGGCCATTTTGGGAATCTTGTTAAGTGCTCACAACATTTTTATCTCTTTTAGGCTTTTTGGTTTCCTTTATGAAAAGAGTAAAGCACCTGAACACCACACGAAGAATAAAGATAGTAATGATTGTGGTTGATAGATTTAATAAAATCATATTTATCATATTAATGTTTCATAACATGGCAATATCTCGTATTGATAGTAATATTTCGTTTGTTTATTAGAAGTTTGAATTGTTTATTTGTCCACTGATGTTATTGGTACAATTGTGAACCACACAATTCCTTTTATGGATCATGACAAAAAAGTATTTTAGATATTTATTTAGTAATAAATAAGTTTAAACATACTATTCTTTTAATCTGTTGTCTAATTGTTTGTATCTTTTGTTTAATATGCAGAGGGAAATAAGTACATGGAGCAGTGGCTTGCTTCTCTTCAGAATTTCTGAGGGGTAGTTTGGGAAATAAGGAATTTTCTGAGATTGATTCTGAAATGGTGTTTTCTTGCTTAGTTTCTTATTGTCTGTTTGCTTTGTAGGACTTAGCAATAAATAACAAAAAGAAAAGTAAAAAAAAAAAAAAAAAAGGAATGATTAGAGAAAACGTATTGAATGCTTATGCTGATGGGGTATGTGGTTTATGGTTACCATGGTAATGATGCGAAAGTGAGACGTGATGTTTATTCTTTAATTATTGCACATACATGGATGTTGTATATATGGTTCTATTGTAAATAAACGAATTTCATGGTATGAAATCATGAACCCGATTATGTTTTTGTATGAAATCTTTGTCTATTTTTATTTTTGAGGCAGCATTATAAGATGATTTGTGTATTTTGTCGTATGAGAGTGCATGTGGATGTTTGTGTGGTGGATAAGAGTTGAAAGTTACTTGTCCTTGGTTTGCATATAAGCAATTTGAAGATGAATCCATGAGTAATAATGCAAATTATAAACTATATGTAACCTATCAAAAATATCAAGTAAATTTTTTGTTTCTATATAAGTAAAAATCATTCATTCATTAGAGTAAAAATAATCTCAGAATATCAAGGTAAATCATAAACAACCATTGAGGAATAAATTTTTGGGGATGTAGTGCGATCAAGCTGGATTTTTCATTTTGAATTAGAAGTACCTGAAAATATTTAAACCTTGGAACTATAAGTAGTTTAGTGCATATCCAAAATACTATATATATATATATATATATATATATATATATATATATATATATATATATATATATATATATATATAACAGCACGTGGCTGTGCCGAGTTCGTATCAACCGAGAGTCCATAATGACTTTGAGCCTAGATTGGCTCTATGTATATAACATACAATCATGCAAGTAATAGTCACATAGACAATTAAACACATACAGACTTATCGGCAAGTGTCACAAAGACACTATCATCCTACAACTATAACCCAGTAGGTCGGCATTGGTGCCTTCGACCCACGATTACAGTGAATAGACCCACTTGTCTCACGAATCAGGTAAACCCAAGGTTGTAGAACTCATTACTTGGTACCTGTTCGACCGACTACCGAGTAGTGAGTACTCGGGGAGTACTCAGATTTGGTAATTCATGTAGAAATATTTTTAGGGAAATTGTATATGTCAAAATTATAAGTTAAAATCATAAATTGATTGAAATGTATAACAAACTTAGATACATGTGAATAAACAAAAACTAAAAAAACACATAATGGTCACATTTCGTGAATAATTACTAAAATTTTAAGATATATATGTAGTAATAATCACATGTGTGTGTGTTAAATAATAAATCATTAAGTATATTATACATATTAATCACCAAGTTGACCGAGTTTTACAACATTTCTAAATTCGGTAAGGGGCCGATCGAGAGTACTCGGGATTCTGTAACTCGCCTCGGTAAGGGGTCGAGTAGCGAGTACTCGGAAGAGTAATCAGCCAACTCAGCGAGTTTTACAACACTAGGTAAACCACAGCTCAAAGCCTCGCCACCGCTTATTACACACAAAAATCAGCCATCTTGACCAAAAGTCAATGCAGGTCAAAAGTCAATGGTCAAAGTCAAAGTCAAGAGCCCATCATGTCAATTATTCATACTCACGTCATAACCAGCTCTTGGTTATGTCGTGAGAGCCTACTCGGTCCGATTCCAACTCCAACTCGTCTCGACTCAACCCAGCCAACTTAAACAAGGAAAATCATATGAGCTGACCTTATGACGTGAGCAACCTTTTGTCATGTCGTGAGCCCCAAATAAATTAGTAGAAAACGGGATCTCCCAATCTCACGTCATGAGAACTCACGTCTCACATCGTAAGCATAGTCTGAAGCTAAAATCCAAAGATTAAGTCCTTAATCCATTAAGCCTTTTACTGTAATTTTCCAGAAGGTCTTATAACTCCATAATACACTTGAAATTCAACGTTTTAAGACATGTATGTCCAATACATGTCTAGATCTCATTTTGATCAATATTGAAGAAAAAGGCCATCCAACTTTCATGCAAGGTTCCAAAACTCAACGATTCACTAGATCTGAACTTCATGACACTCTAAGGACCCTTATAACCTGTTAAGTTGCCAACTTTATGGTCTCCATTCATTTAAGCTTGCTCAATCAAGGAGAAAAGTTGGACAAAACTTAGATCTAGCCACAAACAACAATAAAGGTGGAAGCTTTGACACATACAAGGGTCCAAAAACAATGTGGATGTGTTGATGATGATGATTCCTTGCAAGTCTCACCAAAATATCACATTCTTCTTCTTCTTCTTCTTCTTCAAACCAATAAATGCTCCAAAAGGCCAAGAATCAAGCAAAGAATGAAAGCTAGGTTTTTCTAAGGTGAAAGGGGGGTTTGGAGGCTGATTGAACCCTAAAATAGGTTTAGAGGGGCTTAAATACAAAGAAAACCCTAAAAGATCATGGGCTTGGGTTGCATCAGTTCTCACATCATGAGCCTCTATGTCCCACACCGTGAGATCAGTTCGGAACAAAATTTACATATTAACCCTTCTCATATCGTGACCATTCAAAGGTCACGTAGTGAGACCACATTTCTTCCAAAATTCGACCTTTTGACTCATTGAAACCCTAAATCGATCCATCCTGGAAAACAGATGTTACACTATACGGACCAAAATTATAGTTGTTAAAATTAAAAAACTATAGGGACCAAATATGTAGTTATTGAAATTATTTTATTAGACTCGCATTCACAACGAAAGTACATTATCATTTCAAAATGAATAAACAAAATAAACTACCATATCATGCAAACTATAATTACCATTATCAAACCAACACAAAAAGATATCATGCAAACTACAATTACCATTATCAAACCAGCACAAAAAGTCATTCCAATTTCATTCAAATAAAAAACTAGCAACTTCTCCATAACATTTACAACAAAGTCTAACAAAAGAGCAATAAAAACAACATCAAACACACACACACACAAAAAAAAAAAAAGAACATTATATAACGTCCCAATAACACAGTCTGAAAATTTTGTTAAATTTAATAATAAAAACCATAGTCGAATAACCTCATATAAATATCATAAGCAACGTATCTCAAAATATTATAACAACTGTCAAGTATATCAGAGTATAAACATCCCAGGCTGAACAAATGGTGTGTGCACTGTAATCTTCCCAAGCTCCTCTTTAGAAAAACTGAGTACCTAAAACCAAAACTGAAAACTGTAAGCACGAAGCTTAGTGAGCTCCCCCAAACTACCACATACCATACAATAACATATAAACACATATTGGGCCTTGCCCACTGCATTGGACCGAAGTCCAGAACTAACCAGGGCTTGCCCTCTGCATCGGACCGAAGTCCGAAAACTGCATCGGACTGAAGTCCGGAACTGACTGTGACCTTGTCCCCTGCATCAGACCGAAGTCCGGAACTAACTGCATCAGACCGAAGTCCGGAACTAACTGAGACCTTGTCCCCTACATCGGACCTAAGTCTAGAACTAACTGCATCGGACCGAAGTCCGGAACTGACTGAGCA